AGCCATCATCTCAATCTATTTTTTCATGCTGATAAATTTTGTAAGAGATAAAACATGATCTCTTTTGACCTTTAATAAGCCTTGGTAGAATAAAAGAATTATGTTTAATCCTGGTAACTCTAAAGACATGCCTGTTTTAATGAAACCAACAAACTTAAAGTAGGTTTTTTTTTTTTTTTAAGATTTTATTCATTTATTTGACAGAGAGAGACACAGCGAGAGAGGGAACACAAGCAGGGAGAGTGGGAGAGGGAGAAGCAGGCTTCCCGCGGAGCAGAGAGCCCGATGCGGGGCTCGATCCCAGGACCCTGGGATCCCGACCCGAGCTGAAGGCAGACACTTAACGACTGAGCCACCCAGGCGCCCAATATTTTCCCAGATCATGTAAACCTGAAATTCATTTGGGTTAGTTTCTATTACATTTCTGAGAATTCAGTTTATATAAATGCTTAATTTTCTTTAAGTCAGTTAAATAGAATTCTTTTACAAATTAATTTTGGCAGTACTATCCATAGGAAGAAAAATACCTTACAGTACATATATATAAACACACACAAACAGGGGCGCCTGGGCGGCTCAGTTGGTTAAGCATCTGACTTCTGCTCAGGTCATGATCTCAGGCCCCTGGGATAGAGCTCCAGCAGGGCTCCAAGCTCAGCAGGGAGTCTGCTTGTCCTTTTCCCTCTGCCCTTCCCCCTGCATGTGTGCCTGTGCCCCAAATAAATAAATACAATCTTAAAAAAAATAAACACCTATAAATATACAGACAGAGAACTTATAGCTTCCATTTTAAAAATCACTGCCATCGAATCAAGTACAATAATACAAATTAATACTTCTGAGAAGCATTCCTCTAAGTTTCAAATGATCTTTTCCTTTTTGTGTTCTTTTGATAAGAATTACCTCCCTGAAGTTTGTACTTTAAAGAGATGACCTAGATAAAAGTTAGCATTTGCATCTCAAAGACACAGGGAAAGAATTCATGTTCCTCCGACAAGGACTTTGGTGTCCTAAGGCCAGAAATTTTACAATACTTACAAACCTTTAGAAATAAAGAGGGGAGGTTTGGGGAGTGATAAAAAGTAATAAGTGAACTTTAAACTACCTCTACAGCTACATTTCTAAAGATTTGTAAGATAAAGACAGTCACTCTCAATTTCTTCAAGAATTGGATTGTAGCCTAAATGATATCATAGGTTGATCCACTCATTCAAGTACCTTACCTTCAATTTGCTTTTTTATACCAGGGATCTTTAGAATGTTTTAGCAAATCCTTTTACAAAGGCTTCGGAAGGTTTTTCTTTCTGGGTGCATAATTTCATTTTAGTTTAGGTAAGGAGGCCTAAAATAATTTCTTTCAGGCTCCATATATCAGCTTTCAATTTCTGACCAACTTCTGACCATAGAGCTACTAAAAAATCCTTTAGACTATCTTGTCAGTTTTCAGCTAGGACAAACAGTTATTTCTGGCAGTATTTAACAACTCCACTTGGGTGTACGAAAGGCCCCATAGGGGATGCAAAGGATATTATCTTCCTAAGATCCAGAGTCACTCCCAAAGATAGCCAAAGGAAAGAATCAACCACCTGCATGTCCCAGGCAGGCAGGAATCCAAGCCTGGTTTGTAGGACACAAAATGAGAAAAGCAAGAAGGCATATAGCTATCTCTGGGAGAGAAAGGATCAATAACTAATGGGTCTGGATTTGGAAAGGAAGGGACAATATGAAATTTTATTTTCCGCTCTTGATTGAGCACTATGGACAGAGATTTGTGAGAGCTGACTCTGGTAAGAATTCTCACCCTTTGCTGTCTTCTACCAGTTTTCCCAAGATGTCCTTTGCAGGCTCCAGAATTTGGCAAGGTTTTTAATTAATTTTGGTTTTAGTTTCCCTTGGCTGTTTAAGGGCATAATGTAGCAGTTTACCAGACAATCCCTCAGGGTCTCATCAGCTCTGGGAGAGGCCTATACGGGAATCTTCCTTCAAGGATAGATATGAAGGCATTTGAGTTGATGTTGAAGAATTTGCATAGGGCCTTTGTAAAGTCTGTATAAAACTCTAAGCAAAGGCCTTCTTTCTGAGTGTACAATTTAAACTTGGGCCAATTCACCTCTGTTGCAGGGTTGGAGGGAAGCATCTCCTGTTGCTTCTATCAGCCCCTGAACATTGGCCGTCAGCTGATCGTTTGTAGGAGGGCCTAGGAGAAATTCTGGTCATCTGTTTCCTCTGGGGGGGGGGGTGGGCAGTTTTCTCAGGGAGCCATATGATTTGTCTCTTAACTGCAATATACCTATGGGTGGGAAGAACACCCCTTAGCATCTAATAAGGTCCTTGTGAGTGGGGGGTTGAATGGCCACTAATCTTTCCAACTCCTCTCTAAATTGGTATGATCTTCTGAAAGTGAAGATAAAGGGGCTTTATAATTTAAAAGATTGGCTGCTGTCCATGGGACATGAATTCTTTGCAGAGGGGGTCCAGGGTATTCCTGAAAAGGACATTGTATGGGAAGACCTGAAGCTGGTAGAGCCTGATTAAAGAGCCCTGGAAAGTAGGAATTATAAGGGATAGCAAAGTGAGCCCCACCACCCTTCTTGGGTGCTTCTACTAAAATCACTTCCTAGCTTTCAGCACTTACACAAGTAACCCGTATACCCTGGACCTGGAGATCAGGCAAGAGTGTTCTCTATAAATGTTAGAGGAAAAGGGAAGCTGAACTAGGCAAATGGAGCCAGATTTTGAAAAGGAGAATTTACATTGGATGTAGACTTTAATTTTTTTTCTAATTTTTGTTCCTTCATTTTGTTAAGGAAGTCCCTAAGGCTAGCCATTATATTCCTTTGTGTCCCAGTTTTAATTTAGTTTTTCCGCAGGTGTCAATAGGATGAGTGCTCTCTAAAAATTTCAGTGTAGAAGTCCAATTCAAAAGATCCATTGTCTGGCCATTGATAAGTAGGATCTATTAATCTCAATAGTGACTCAAACCAATAAGCCTCTCTATGGACACAAAAGGTATCCCAAAGGAGAGTGCAAAAGATGCAGCCCCCACAAGATCCAGCCTAAGAAAACAAAGACATTTATTATCACAATGAGACAACAAAGGTTGAGATGACAAAGGCCCCTTATGGACTGGGACCCCTTAAGACAAAATCCCCCTGACAGCTGGCAGGGTCAGACGAAGAAACCTCACTCTAGACCTAGTTTAGCCCAAGTTCTGGTTTTTAAATGGGACCCAGGCCTAACTCCAGTCAGCTGAGATCCACAGCCTGTTCAGCTGTCTGCCAAATGCACACTGGTACATGTACCCTTTGGTTGGCAGAATATTCTCACTGGTCATAAAGCCAAGCTCTCAAGTTGTAGAAAGTGACAAAGGGAAACAGAGGAAAATGATCAATAGAAAACAAAAGTACTAATACCAAATCTTTATCAGACGTACTATACCCAAGGAACTTGTTCCATAAATATTTTCTCCTGCTAATCTAAATTTAGAAAAGAAAAGGACTCTCACCATTCTTGCTTTCATGAGACTCTGTAGGCAGAGATCCAGGAGACTGACATAGTAAGAATTCTTGCCAGCCAGTTAAAATTTATCTTGCTGAATATGCTAACTGTTGTGGAGGAAAAATGTTCCTTCTAGTCTTCTAGGTTCTCTGGCTGCTCTAATAATTAAAATGACATAAGACAGATTAACAATAAAAAAATTAATTTCATAGGTACACGGGCCCCATGGAAATAGGAGATCCAAGGGCAAGTAGGGCAGTTGAGGCTTATATGCCATCATGAGCTAAGGAATGGGATTGGAGGGGGAGAAGGGTAATTCACAGGACAATAAGGAGAGATGTTTGATACAATAGACCCCCCTCTTATCCACAGGGGATATAGTCCAAGACCCCTAGTGGATGCCTAAAACCATGGAGAGTACTGAACCCTATATAAACTGTTTTTTCCTATATAATCTATGGTAAAGTTTAATTTATAAGTAGGCACAGTAAGAGATTAACAGCAATAACTAACAAAATAACTATTAAAATAGAACAGTTATATTGTTATATGTTATACTGTGATAAAAGCTATGTGAACGTGGTCTTTCAAAATACCTTATACTCACTCTTCTCCTTCTTGTGATGATGGGAGATGATAAAATGCCTAAATGATGAGATGAAGTGAGATGAATAATGTAGGCATTATGACATAGCATTAGGCTACTATTGATCTTCTGATGATACATCAGAAGGAGGATCATCTGCTTCTGGACTGCAGTTGATCGCGCATAATTGAAACCATAGAAAGTAAAACCATGGATAAGGATGTGGGGGAGGGGGAGACTACTGTAATTAGATGTTTGCCCTGCCATACAGATAGGTCATTCAAATAAAAGTTGTTTCTGGTAATAACTCTCTCTCAGACCAGGCCTCCTAATCTATAAATTCTTTTATGTAGTTAAGGGAGAGGTAAATGTTTTTCTTGAGTGTGCTGAGTCTTGATTGCCTTCAGCTCAAAATAATCCCCATGCCAACGTGGCATATTTTCCAGTCGTGTATTCTGTACCCTGTCACCAGCTCTTGCTCACTATAGCATTAGGTGATATAATATAAACCTTTGACTTAGTAAGAGTTAAGAGATACACAAGACCTGTTTCTCTAATCACTTAGCTATATTTTATCATTTTGTTATGAAATTTCATAAGGTAAATTTTAAATAAAATCATATCCAAAAAATCATATCAGAAAATAAGAATTGAGCTTTAGGAGAGTTGTTTTTCTAAGTGAAATGAAGAGATGTTACATTTAGTAAAGTAATTGTTCTATATACAAAGTGCACAAGAGAAAGGAATGCTATCCTCAAACATAGCTGTGGTATCTACGCACTAGCAAATATGGCAGAAGTTGCCAAGTTTAACTCAGTTCTTCATCAGTTACTGGTTTATTTATAAACTAATTTAGTTTCAAAAATAATTGTAAACATCTAATCCTTCCCCCTTTTTTTGTGATTTTTAATCCTAGGTGACATATGGAAGGAAACCTTAGTATTTTTCTTGATACCGTTTGCTTTTGTCTCATTATTTGTTTTGGTAATAACTTGTCTGCTTTTGTATAAGCAAAGGGCTTTGCTGAAAATGGTAAGTTGTATAACATAATGTTTAATCTGAGATAGTAGCTAACAAATAAATGTTCTGCTTTTAGAACTGATGGACCTATGTTTTATAATTTTTCCTGTAAACTGTGGTGTACAATTGATGTCGTATGGATTATGATGATGTCTTCAGAAAATACAATAATTTAAAAAAATTAACCCTATAAAGCTAAATTTGGAGGTGGATTTACCTTTGTTGAAATATAGGAATAATGCTTTAGAATATGAAACACTATTTACCTCTAGATTAGGGAACAATATAAGGAAAGAGTTACAGGAGAAAAGCAGGATTGGGAGGCAGGAAAAAGAGTGACTTCAACTGGATGCAGACTGAAATATATTACTAGTGTGTCACAAGCAAAAATCACAAAAATTGAAAAAGATAGTGCCTGCCCTCCAAGAGCTTATACTCTAGTTGGGGGAGATAGAATCCATAAAAAATACAACCTGTACCGTGAGCTGTTTTTAGATGATTCCTATTTAGAGAATTTCAGAAGATGAAGGTCACTATGGATTGGCGAGCTTTAAGAAGAAATTGTGACTTGGAGAAAGATATCTTAATGCCAAGTCTTTTAAAGATAAAGGGAAATTTGAATGTGTATGGAATGTTTCACTTTATTTCTCTGCTGAATGCTTTTTTAAGATCTATTTCTCTGAGTTACTAATCTGAGTTGAAATAGTTTGTTATTATTGACTATTTGTTAATAATGGAGCTCTTTTTTTTTAATTTCAGATCTTTCATACAAAAAAAGAAGTCTTTTCTCATCAAGAGACATTCTGTTGACTCATTAACTTTCAGTCTTATGGCCAAATGTTAAATATGAGTCTTATTAAACTGAAGCTTTTCTCCAAATATTGAATAAATCTTATTTTAAAAGCATTGTTGTATTTAAATAGGCTTTAGAATACTCAAACCCTCAACTAGTAGTACATTTTCTGGATTCTATTAATAGGTTTTTCCCTCATTAATACATGGTCAGAGTGCTACACATAGAGAAGTCAAGGGTTGGGTCAAATTCTATTCACTGATGTGTTAATAAAACAATGTGATTTTATAACTTGCACTAAGCCAGAAATATTGTTGAATTCTGGAAGTTGAGATTCTCATTTTTTTTTTTTTTTATATTGTCCTTGGGATGAATGTATTCACCATAAGTAAAGTTGTTTGGCTTTAAAAGTAACCTGTGGAGAGGATTAATAAGAAGCAAGAAGTTTTCAATACATTCATAGTCTAAATATGTGCTTTATATTTTGTGAAAAAGGTGGAAAAAATGCAATGCATAGAAGGCTGAAAATAATAAAATGAGTAGAGAGATCATATTTGAAAAATTCAGATGTCACAAACATGCAGGAAAAACTTGGGAGCTTCCTGTACTAGTTGGCAGGCAGCATCTCCTACTTTCTGATGGTGTGATTTTTTTTTTTTTTTTAAGTTCAGGAACCAAAAGGCAGAAGCCTTTGAAATTACTGAGAAGCCTTTTAAAAGTACATCCAACTTTCAGACTAATTGACAACTTCTGGAAGAGAACATGACAACCTAAGTGTAGAGAGTTGCTTTAAAACTTAGGGAATAATGACCTATAGATAACAATCAAGAGCCAAGTTTTAGTTTGGACCAATTTCTGTTTAATATTATTCCGAGTGTTTCTTCTCTGTGGTCCACAGACCAATAGAGTAGGGATTTCCTGGGAGCTTATTAGAAATGCAGAATCTCAGACCTTAACCCAAATCTACTTAATTAGCAATCTGCATTTTAAGAAAATCCCCAGGTGATTCATTTGCACATTTAATTTGAAAAGCACTGATATATAGGAGCATTTTAGAATGGAAAGGATTAAAATAATGGAGAGATAAGCCCATGAGGAGGATAACTGCAGCTTTGACTATTATTGGTAGTGACCCTTTATCTCTAAAAAGGGGAAAAGAGCTAAAACTGAGGTGTAAACCAGAATACCATCCTCTACTGTCATTTGTAATCAATGACAGGATGCACTACCACTTCCCTAAGTAGACCTATCCTTGTTAAACATTAAAAGCCCCATGGTAATATATAGTATGATTAGCAAATCAGTCTCAAACCAGGTCTTGCTAAAGATGTTTTTGAGGTATTGGGGAAGAAGGAGGAATGTGGAGGGAAAAGGTCAAGGCTAGACAGGGAAATGGCAGTCAACCACATGAGTGGGTCTAAGGGAACTAGTATTTCAATTCCTGTCTTCAGAGCTGCATAACAAGTTCTACTAATCAAAAGATTTCTGGTATTCCGTTCCATAAACCAACAAAATGACAACAAATCTTTATAAAAGGACAAAAAGTCCTTGCAAAAGGACCCCTGGAACTCCTGGCCTGCTAGCTGTATAGATTTATTAGCTTTTCAATAATGTGACTCCAAGTTTTCTGAAATTGAATTTTTTAGTCTTTTTTTTTGTATTCTGATAGAATTTTAAGATACCAAATATTTCCCAAATGCTTGGTATACAGACAGTACCCTAAGTCACATCCCCCCTCTCTCCCATCTGACTTCTGTCACCTAGGGCTGCCCTATGCTCTCACTTAGAAGCCTCTCCCCTAGGACCTCCCAGAAACACCTTTAATAACCTTTAAGTACCACCTTTCATAGCAGGAGTTCTCCAGGATCCTACTCTAGGGCAAAAATGAGTAAGGATGAATTCATGAGTATATGCCCTGTGCAATTAACAGGTCCCTATGCTTGGGGGCTTGGGAGGGCCTCAAACACGATTTAATGATCTGCTGTCACCGTCTTGAAATTCCTAATGAGTTTTGAAGAAGGAGCCCCATATTTTATTCTTCACTGTGCCTGTTAATTATATATCTACTCCTGAGAGCCAGCATTAGTTCTGATTAGACTGCTCAGGCTGTACCATAAAAACATCCGTATCCCAGTTTATGACTATGATTTCTCCCCGGGAGGGGTTGGCCACCAGCATTACTTATCCTTCCCAGTTCTGTGTTGCAGAAGCTCTGTTCTTGGCAAGGGATGTTTGAGGCTCCCTCCCTCCACCTAGCTCCTATTCCCAGGCACAGCAAGCTGAGAATACTCAGTTCCAGTAATCTTCACCCCAGCTTCCATGTAGGGCTGAGGTCCTATGCCGGAAGGGACAAACAAGAAGACCGAGATTCCCCTTCTCCTCCTGCCCCCCAGTCCAGAGTCTTGCTTGTAATGGATGGTACTGCAAGAGTAAAGATTCCTGCCCCATCTCTGGAGCAGTGGCACAGAGCTTCAGATATGGGAAGAGTCAGGCCATAAGAACAGAGCTTAGTAGCTCTCCCTAAAGGGGTTGACTTTATTTGGAATAGAGACTGGAAAGTTTCGTTTATGAATGCTGTCAAAAAATGCAGATTTGGGGCGCCTGGGTGGCTTAGTTGGTTAAGCATCTGCCTTTGACTCGGGTCATGATTCCAGTGTCCTAGGATTGAGTCTTGCATCAGGCTCCCTGCTCTGCGGGGCATCTGCTTCTCCCTCTGTCCCTCCCCGCCCTTCACACACGCACTCTCTCTCACAAAAATAAATCAATAAAATCTAAAAAAATGCAGATTTTGCTGGTGAGCAAACATCATACAAAAAGGCAGAGGAGAATAGAGCTACATAGGTAGGAGTAACATTTCCCTATCTCACTGTCCTTAAGTTGGTGTAAATTTGAAGTAGATCTGAGAAGTTAAGATGTATACTGAAAGCCCTAGTGTAACCAAGAAAATAAATTTTAAAAATAGTGAACAATTGTTAAAATAATTGCAATACTACACTAAAAATGTTCACTTACACATGAAGGCAATAAAGAGGAAAAGAATGAGAAAATAAGCATAAAGTAAAATGACAATTGTGAAACCAGTCATATTAACAATAAAACTGTGAATTAGTTAATCTATGCAAAAAGCAGACATTTTGAGACTGGATTTTAAAAAAAGATCCAACTATATACTATAAACAGGAGACAGATTTTTAGACTTAAAGATACAGGGTTTTAAGTGAAATGACTGAAAAAAATATACCACATAAGCATCACCCAAAGACAGCAGAATTGGCTACACTACTATCAAACAAAAAGGATTTTAATTTAAAAAAGTCACTAGGGATAGAGACATTTTATAATGATGAAAGAGTGACTCCATCTGGAAGACAACAATTATATATGCATGTAACAAGACTGTCCAAAAATACATGGAGAAAAAAACTGAAGGAATTGGAGAAATAGACAACTCGGTAATAATAGTTATACTTTAATAACTCACTTTCTTTTTAAAAAAATATTTATTTGAGAGAGAGAAAGCACAAACGGGGAGAGGGAGAAGCAGACTCCCCGCTGAGCATAGAGCTCAATGTGGGGCTCAATCCCAGGACCTTAGGGCTCGATCCCAGGACCCTGAGATCATGACCTGAGCCAAAGGCAGACACTTAACCAACTGAGCCAGCCAGGCACCCCAATAACTCACTTCCAATGATAGAACAAGTAGGCAGAAGATCAACTGGGAAACAGAGAACTTGAACATAATATAAACCTGCTAGGCCTAACACATCTATAGAGCAATTTATCCAAGAGCATCAGCATACACATTCTTCTTAAGAGTACATGGAACATTATCCAGGATATATGCTAGGACATAAAACGAAACAAATTTTAAAGCGTATAAATCATTTGAAGTATGTTCTCTGACTATAAAGTAATGAAATTAGAAAATAATAAAAAATAAATATTTAGAAATAGACAAATGTGGAAATTAAATAACACACTCCTAAATAACCAGTGGGTCAAAGAGGGAATCACAAGGGAAAGTAGAAAATACATCAATACTGGGAGCGCCTGGGTGGCTCAGTTGTTAAGCATCTGCCTTCAGCTCAGGTTGGGATCAAGCCCCCCATGGGGCTCCCCGCTCAGCTGGGAGTCTGCTTCTCCCTCTCCCACTCCCCCTGCTTGTGTTCCCTCTCTCACTGTGTCTCTCTGTCAAATAAATAAATAAAATCTTTTTAAAAAGAAGTAAAAGAAGGGCGCCTGGGTGGCTCAGTTGGTTAAGCGACTGCCTTCGGCTCAGGTCATGATCCTGGAGTCCCGGGATCGAGTCCCACATCGGGCTCCCTGCTCAGCGGGGAGTCTGCTTCTCCCTCTGACCCTCCCCCCTCTCATGCTCTCTCTCTCTTTCTCTCTCTCAAATAAATAAATAAATAAAATCTTTTAAAAAAAAGAAGTAAAAGAAAATACATCAACAATGGAAAAAAAAAAAGAACACAACATACCTAACTTAGGGGATCCAGCCAAAGCAGGATTTTAGCAGGAAATTTATAGCTACAAATTCATATATTAAAAAGGAAGAAAAAAAATCAATAATGTAACCTTCCACTAAAGACACTGGAAAAGGAGAGAAAACTCAACCCAAAGTAAGCAGAAGATAGTATGTAATACACATTAGAGCAAAATAAATGAAATAGAGAATAGAAAAACAGATAATCAATAAACCAAAACATGGCTACTTGAAAAGATCAATAAATTGACAAACCTTTAGCTATATTGATAAAAGGGAGAGAGAAGATTCATATTATTAAAATTAAGAATGAGAAAGAAATTACTATTAACCCGAGAAATAAAAATGTTTATAAGGGAATATTATGCCACAAAGTAAAAACCTTAGATGAAATGGACAATTTCCTAGAAAGACACAAATGACTGAAATTTACTCAAGAGGAAATAAAAGATCTGAATAGTAAAGAAAAGAGATAGAATTAGTGACTTTTAAACTTCTCCATACAACCGCCTAGGTCCAGATGGCCTCACTGGTGAATTCTACCAAATATTTAAACAAGAATTCATGTCAGTTCTCCACAAACTCATTCTAAATGTAGATGGGGAAGAAACATTGCCCAACTCA